TTCTTCCTTTAGGATCACCCCTACTCCATTTCTCTTCCCATCTGAACCATGATAAAACAGTTTGTAGCCTCCTCCAATGTTTCTAGCCTTGCTGCCCTTCCACCTGGTCTCCTGCACACACAAAATGTCTACTCTTCTTCTCTCCATCACATCAGCTAGTTCTCTACTTTTCCCTGTCATTGTACCTACATTCAAAGTTCCAAACTTCAGACCAACACTTCTATTCTTCATCTTTTCTCTTTTTCTCCTAACCAAACGCCCTCCTTTTCTTCCCTGTCTCTGGCTCTGACTCTGACCAACAGTAGTCCAATTTCCATCAGTGCCCTGTTGGTCAACGGCACTGTTAGCGGGCGTTGTTAACCCGGGCCTCGACCAATCCGGTATGGAAATCGTTTTATTGATCTGCATATTTGATTTAGCTAAAGGTTTTACGCCGGATGCCCTTCCTGACGCAACCCTCACCATTTATCCGGGCTTGGGACCGGCACTATAAACACGGCTTCGTGTACCCTAATGGCTGGCTTATATTTTTTTTTAATTTAGTTTATAATATTTAAACTCTTTTTTTCTTTATCTTTAGTTTCACTCTTTAGAACAGACATGGGGGGCTGAATGCGACCCACTGTAGTAGCCACATATCAATAAGGTCTAAAAGTTCAAAACGTACACAAACACACTAATACAGGTAAGCAGATGCACAACCAACCTGAATATCAGATGGAGTGGGGGCTTTGGAGGTGTTTCTAGTAATATCTCAAATTATTTTTTTCAATAATAAGGAATAATCCTGATTGTGTCTGAACCCACACACTGATGCACTTATTCATCCGCTCAGTCTGAATGATACTCTTTATGTGTGACTTGTAGTTCGTCATCTCTCACCTGCCTGTTCTACACAGAAATACTTTGGTGAAACTAAATACTGCCGCACAGTGGCAAATAAGATTCCGTCCCAATCATTTGAAAAGTGTTACACTGCCGTTCTCTGGTTAAATATTGTAAATGTCTCCTTTTTCCATGTTTATGGCAGAGTACAGAACTGTACTTTGTTTAATCCCATGTCAACTCTTTGGAGTGTTATAAAGACATGTAAGTGTTGCAGAGTAATCATGATGATATTTTGAATTAAGCAGATTAATTTTCATCTGTATAAATAAAGATTATGAAGTATTATTAGATTATTAGTGAGACATACAAATGTTGAAATTGCCAATTGAAGTACAATGCAGTATTTTATTTGTATTTTCTTTTCGCTTCAGGTCTGATCCTGTGAAGACTTGCATCTCATAGAAAGAAATTTTCTTTGTCTAATTTCTTTATAATTATTGTTTGAGTTAATTAATGTGGAACTGCTTTTATTTTCATTTTTAAGCCACATTTACAGAAGGTCTAGACATTTCTAATGGGCCTCTAATTTATTTAAAGTTTATTTTTGATGGTTTTTATGTTCTCAACAAAAGTCCAGCACGAATTATATCGATACACGTGGCAGATGGTATCAAGATTTATGTTTGTAATAAATGTAGTCACTAATAAATTACCTCTTCCAATTTGCGAAAGTTTCTTCTTCTGTGGTACTGTGAGAACATGCATTAAGTCTTCGAACACTATCACCCATTACTCACAGGCGTATTTATTAAATATGGTGAAATTCTACAGAAATGCTACTGTGTGCTCATTACTTTCTTATGGATTAAATTTAGACAAATTGATTTTCGACAGGTCGAAATTTTCCCCTAATGTTGTGTCGAATATGTGAATTTATGTGTTATTACATAATCAACCCGCCTTTTAACTGGATATATCAGGTTTCTGCCGTTAGCTGTGCCTAGTTAACCAACCAAACACACCAAAACACAAATTTATTCAAATTAATTATTAACGGTGCAGTGGTGTGAGATGGAGCGGGTCTTGGTGGTGCCAGGCTGAGGCGTGGCAGTGGGCAGGTCCAGGCTCACAGAGCAGCATCAGGGTCCGCTGTGCTGGAGCTAGTGTGTGTTTGACACAGACGAAAGACCGAGGGAAAATAAACCCCCTGGTGAGGCGTCGCGGCATCCTCCGGAAAACCAGCGCAGCTGCTGTGATTGAACACATCCGCCCTGGGCTGTGGGTGCAGGAGCAGAGCCACGCACACAACACGGTACTGAGGTGAGTACAGTGACTGTCTGGTCGTGTTTATGGTGGGATGTGTTTGTGGGAAGAGGACGGGGAGTAGTGCTGCATCCTCCCTGAGGATCAGTGTGGCTGTGTTGTCTACTACGAACACTTTGAATGCCAATGTTAAATGTGTGCAAGAATTTCAGAAGAACAGGGTTGACGCGTGGTTTTGGCTGAGTGTATGTGTGGGGAGTGGGTGTGTGGTTCGTTCATGTTCCAATCAAAGCCATTTTTTCTTACTGCTCTTTCACGGCAGTACATTAGCTTTTTCCTTTGGCATCGTATGATTTCCCGCAATCGTTTGGAAAAGACTAAACCACATTTGCTTTTGATGTGATCTGTAGTGAGAGTAGGCAGCAGCTAGAAGAGAACCTAGAGAGGTGAACGAAAGGGAGAACAGTGAAATAGTGAAGTTACAAGGAGCAGAGGTGGTGAAGGTGCAGGAGTTTAGGTACTTAGGATCAACTGTTCAGAGCAGCGGAGACTGTGGAAGAGAGGTGAAGAATAGAGTGCAGGCAGGATGGAACAGCTGGAGAAAAGTGTCAGGAGTGATCTGTGGTAAAATGGTGTCAGCTAAAGTGAAGGAAAAGGTTTACAGGACGGTGGTGAGACCAGCCATGATGTATGGTTTAGAGACGGTAGCAATAGGCAGAAGACAGGAGGCGGAGCTGGAGGTGGCAGAGTTGAAGATGCTAAGATTCTCTCTAGGAGTGACAAGAATGGACAGGATCAGGAATGAGGTCATTAGAGGGACAACACAGACAGGAAGGTTTGGAGAAAAAGCTAGAGAAGCCAGATTGAGATGGTTTGGACATCTGCAGAGGAGGGACAGTGGATACATTGGTAGAAGAATGCTCGAGATAGAGCTACCAGGTAGGAGAAAAAGAGGAAGGCCAACGAGGAGCTACTGTATATGGATGCAGTGAGGGAGGACATGCAGATAGTTGGAGTCAGAGTAGAAGACACAGAACAGGGTAAAATGGAAAACCATGATTCGCTGTGGCAACCCCTGAAAAAGGGACAAAGCCGAAAGAAGAAGAAGGGAGTTCAAAGTTAAATTGCGATCTGCGTGGGAGCATGGGATGACAGAAGGCGAACACACATTCACCAAGACAGGGAGGCAACGCCGGGCGAGTTACGCCACTATCTGCTAATGGATCGTGGATCCCTGGGCTGAGATATCAGTCTCAAATGTCGTCTGTGCTTTCACGAAGGCCGGAATCATCACTGAACAGCTAAGTAACAGCAACGAGACTGACTCGGATAATGACGAGATGGATCTGGGCATTCTTGATTGTTCCGCTTCATAGTTTTGTTGACTGTTTTGTTTCGCTTAATGCACCCTGTAATCTGGTGTGCCTTATGGTCCAAAAAATATGGTAAATCTTTTTTTAATTTTACAATTTTCTTGACCAACATCTGGTTGTCAGACAAGCAAAAGATGAGTAAGTCCCCCACACCTAAAGGCGCAGTGCAGCGGAGCCCCAGTGATGGGGTCCGAGGGGGTCTTCAGTCCCCTCAGCACTCTACACCAGGCTCTGGACTACAGCATAAGAAACGGATCTCCAGCCTTCTCCAGAGTCCTGTTCATCTGACTCTCATTCTTTTCATGTGAAAGTATTTCTGAGTGTTATTGACATTTTCCCCTCTGAACCAATGCTGTCAACTTATATTAAAATGTGCCATGGAATTAAAATAGACAAAACTAGTGGAAAGCAGAAAGATTAACATATAGCATAGCTTTTCCTTTAAATCAAGACACTGGTTCACAGTCATATCACATTTAACACTTCACATGAAAATCAATAATATATTATTATTATTATTATATATTTAAAGATGTCTTTCACACAAGGTAACTAAACAACGGGCAAAGCAGTAAGAGTTTAGTAAGTAAAGTAAAAGCATAAGACGCGAGCTGCCCCTGACTAGTTGTAGCAGGGGTAAATGGCTACCGTATTTTAGTCGCTCCGGAGTAAGTCTCACCAGACAGCTAGAGTGCCCTCTAGTGGCTGTTGTTATGAAAATAATGGACATGTAAAATTTTAGTCATATAGGAGTAGCAGATACTGCTACACAAGCCTAAAGTGCCCTCTAGTGGCTGTCAGTGTGAAAATAACAAACGTGAAATTATATATTTTAATATATAAGTCGCATCTGAGTATAAGTCGCAAACCCAGGCAAAGGATGAAAAAAAATGTCACTAATCCGGAAATTATGGTAAAACATGGTCTAATCGGCACAAACACGAATGGTTAAAATTTAGACAAGAGAGCTCTTGAATAAAAAGAAGTACTGTATGTTTTCCTTTTTATATGAAATTTTCTTTTTTTAAATATAGGATGGGAAGTCACTTTAGTGTGACCCTGCCTGTCATTACCAACCAATAAATCTGTAGTTCTCCAGTTAAATGCTTTTAATGTAAAGCAGCATCAGCAGAAACTCATCTTGTTCCTGATGTACAGTCATTCATATTCGTTATTCCATACTGTCCAAAGACAGCATGGATGTCCATGGTTTATAAAGCTGCTTACATTGATTTTTCTCTGACGATGTTTGAAGCTGGATACAGCCTACCCAGATTGGATCTGGCCCAAAGGTTGTTCCTACTGACTCCTCGCTCTAGATTTGATTATCTTCTCACAGAAGTATAAATCATCTGGAGAAATTGGGCTAGAGCAAGAGTGTGCTGCATATTCTGCACGTGGGTGTGGTGCAGTGAAGGATGGGAAAACTGATTGGATAGAAATATGAAAACTCATCACAGTAGTGCAGGAGTATAATGAACTGTTGTTGGTGGATCTAATTAATAACAGTACCCTTTTAAGTATTTTGTGAGTTTATATTTGTTCACAGATATATAAAATATAAATATAACTAAGAAATATGTGTATACAGTAAACCCTTGTTTTTCGCGGGGGTTACGTTCCAAGAAAAACCCGTGATAGGCAAAATCCGTGAAGTAGAAATCTTTATTTTTTTTACAATTAAATACTCAGAAAAAGAAGAGAAAGAACGAACAAACCATTTTACAGTCTCAACCATTTGTTTCACAAATAAAGTAAAATAAAAGTACTTTAGAAACGTTTCAACAAATAACTTCTGTAATGTACTGTCAAATAATAATTTTAATCATCAACGTGAACAGAAGGCTTCAAATTGCGGAGATTAGCACCGCCCACCGTGAACGGGAGAAAATTAAAAATGATTATGAAAAAAATACAAATTACCTGGTCTTGTTGCGGGCAGTTGCAACCCTTTTTGAATCCTTATTAAAACTTATTGCTGCTGTCTTCCTTATGTTTTTTTCTTCCTTCTTTATGGAACGAACGGAAGATTCATTAATTCCATAATGCCGACCTACAGCCGCATAGCTTTTACCTTCATTTAGCATGTCCAATAGTTTTACTTTATCACCGATAGACAGCATCTTCCGCTGCCTTTTGGTCCCTACCGCAGGTACTTTTGCCGGTCCAGAGCGTTTTGTCGACATTATGGGGTTTGATAAACTCGAAATTGCAAGAGAATTTGCACGTACGTAATGTCAATTTGGCAAGCTGTTTTACGTACGTGTACATATTAAACCGCAACGTTATTGGCGCACAGGTAGAGAAGAAGCGGAGTGACTTTTTAGCCAATCAGAATGCAGAACACAATGCACGATGCAAATCCGTGAAGTAGCGAAACCGTGAAAAGTAAACCGCGTTATAGCAAGGGATCACTGTATTCATTACCAGGGATGGCTTGATACAACTTTTTCACGTCCAATATACTACATACTACTGGATACTACATATTATCTTCTGGGCTGCTGTTGCTGATGTGAAAGTGTCTCTGTTAATGGCATGTTGCACAAAGTTAAGGCGAGCATTTGGGCTTAGGTATTAGGTTGGATGTGCTGTCATTTTTTGTTTCGATGTTCGATACTGAGATTTTGACCAATATCGGACAGTTATCGATCCAGAGTGTCAGATTGAGCCATCCCTATACATTATAGGTGTATTTTTATCATTATGGGAAGTGATAAATTAAACCCTGGGCCAGTGCCAGCTGGTCCTCCATCTCTGCTAGCTGGGCCTCCACCTCTGCTAGCTGGACCTTTACCCCTGCTAGCTGGACCTTCACCTTGGCTAGCTAGATCTCCTCCTCTGCTAGCGGGGCTTTCACCTTTACTAGCTGGGCCTCCACCTCTGCTAGCTGGGCCTCCATCTCTGCTAGCTGGGCCTCCACTTCTGCTAGCTGGGTCTTCATCGCTTCTAGCTGGACCTTTCCCCCTGCTAGCTGGACCTCCACCTTTGCTAGCTAGATCTCCACCTCTGCTAGCTGGGCCTCCACTTCTGCTAGCTGGGCCTTCATCACTTCTAGCTGGACCTTTACCCCTGCTAGCTGGACCTTCACCTTG